TTATAGGTCAAATGTAAAATTAGGTGTCGAGGAAGCAAAAATGATCAAAGAGTAAGAAAATAGTTGCAATTAGGAAAATAATATAAAATTAGAAGAGAGAATTCCTCAACATCTTTGGTAGTGTACGTCCATGAAGTCGAGCATAACTTTCTCATCCAGACTCCAAATCAACTGGTTCCAGCGGCATTGGAAAGCTATTTCAACTTGCTTCAACTCCTGTCTAACGGCATAAATCCAAATTCGGACTCGAACATGGTCAAAATTGGATTCCAAAAGCGATCATGAAAATACGTACTACAGTTCGAGGACATGAATGTGCATCAAGAAACGTGCACATGAACTCTCGCTAGAAAGATACGCACATAAGTAAGAGTACAAAAGCATGCACAAAAGTACTCACGCAAAAGTGCATTCGCAAAAAGGATCATGAAAACACAAACTACAATCCTAGGACATTAATACAAATCAACAAACATGCACAACCACACTCGCTCAAATAGACATGCACAAGCGTACATGTAAAAAAACATGCGCAAAAGTGCTTTCGGGACAACGTTCTTAAATACACGAACTACAATACTTGGACTTTAATACATATGAACAAACAACAGCAAAAACACTAGATAAAATAGGTACGGTGGAGTGTAGAAATAAAACTCTACGTTTACGTTTGCGTGGATTATTTTTTTGGACTAATTTATATTTCTGTTTGAATTTGTGGATTTTGTTTCTTATAGGTCAAATCTAAAATTAGGTGTCCAGGAAGCAAAAATGATCAAAGAGTAAGAAAATAGTTGCAATTAGGAAAATAAAATAAAAATAGAAGAGAGAATTCCTCAACATCTTTGGTAGTGTACGTCCACGAAGTCGAGCATAACTTTCTCATCCGGACTCCCAATCAACTGGTTCCGGCGGCATTGGAAAGCTATTTCAACTGGCTACAATTCCTGTCTAACGGCAAAAATCCAAATTCGGACTCGAACATGGTCAAAATTGGATTCCAAAAGCGATCATGAAAATACGTACTTCAGTTCGAGGACATGAATGCGCATCAAGAAACGTGCACAAAAACTCTCGCTAGAAAGATACGCACATAAGTAAGAGTACAAAAGCATGCACAAAAGTACTCCAATAAAAGTGCATTCGCAAAAAGGATCATGAAAACACAAACTACAATCCTAGGACATTAATACAAATCAACAAACATGTAGAAGCAGACTCGCTCAAATGGACATGCACAAATGTAAATGTAAAAAAACATGCGCAAAAGTGCATTCGAAACAACGTTCTTAAAAACACGAACTAAAATACTAGGACTTTAATACGCATCAACAAACAACAGCAAAAACACTAGATAAAAAAGGTACGGTGGAGTTTAGAAATAAAACTCTACGTTTACGTTTGCGAGGATTATTTTTTTGGATTAATTTATATTTCTGTTTGAATTTGTGGATTTGGTATATTATAGGTACAAATCAAAAATTAGGTGTCCAGGAAGCAAAAATGATCAAAGAGTAAGAAAATAGTTGCAATTAGGAAAATAAAATCAAAGTAGAAGAGAGAATCCCTCAACATCTTTGGTAGTGTACGTCCACGAAGTCGAGCATAACTTTCTCATCCGTACTCCAAATCAACTGGTTCGGGCGGCATTAGAAAGCTATTTCCGCTGGCTACAATTTCTGTCTAACGGCAAAAATCCAAATTCGGACTCGAACATGGTCAAAATTGGATTCCAAAAGCGATCATGAAAATACGTACTACAGTTCGAGGACATGAATGCGCATCAAGAAACTTGCACAAAAACTCTCGCTAGAAAGATACGCACAGAAGTAAGAGTACAAAAGCATGCACAAAAGTACTCACGCAAAAGTGCATTCGCAAAAAGGATCATGAAAACACAAACTACAATCCTAGGACATTAATACAAATCAACAAACATGTAGAAGCACACTCGCTCAAATGGACATGCACAAACGTAAATGTAAAAAAACATGCGCAAAAGTGCATTCGCAACAACGTTCTTAAAAACACGAACTACAATACTGGGACTTTAATACGCATCAACAAACAACAGCAAAAACACTAGATAAAAAAGGTACGGTGGAGTGTAGAAATAAAACTCTACGTTTACGTTTGCCTGGATTATTTTTTTGGATTAATTTATATTTCTGTTTGAATTTGTGGATTTGGTATATTATAGGTACAAATCGAAAATTAGGTGTCCAGGAAGCAAAAATGATCAAAGAGTAAGAAAAGAGTTGCAATTAGGAAAATAAAATCAAATTAGAAGAGAGAATCCCTCAACATCTTTGGTAGTGTACGTCCACGAAGTCGAGCATAACAATCTAATCCGGACTCCAAATCAACTTGTTCCAGCAGCATTAGAAAGCTATTTCAGCTGGCTACAATTCCTGTCTAACGGCAAAAATCCAAATTCGGACTCGAACATTGTCAAAATTGGATTCCAAAAGCGATCATGAAAATACGTACTACAGTTCGAGGACATGAATGCGCATCAAGAAACTTGCATAAAACTCTCGCTAGAAAGATACGCACATAAGTAAGAGTACAAAAGCATGCACAAAAGTACTCACGCAAAAGTGCATTCGCAAAAAGGATCATGAAAACACAAACTACAATCGTAGGACATTAATACAAATCAACAAACATGCACAAGCACACTCGCTCAAATGGACATGCACAAACGTACATGTAAAAAAACATGCGCAAAAGTGCATTCGCAACAACGTTCTTAAAAACACGAACTACAATACTAGGACTTTAATACGCATCAACAAACAACAACAAAAACACTAGATAAAAAAGGTACGGTGGAGTGTAGAAATAAAACTCTACGTTAACGTTTGCATGGATTATTTTTTTGGATTAATTTATATTTCTGTTTGAATTTGTGGATTTGGTATCATATAGGTACAAATCGAAAATTTGGTGCCCAGGAAGCAAAAATGATCAAAGAGTAAGAAAAGAGTTGCAATTAGGAAAATAAAATCAAATTAGAAGAGAGAATCCCTCAACATCTTTGGTAGTGTACGTCCACGAAGTCGAGCATAACTTTCTCATCCGGACTCCAAATCCACTGGTTCCAGCGGCATTTGAAAGTTATTTCAGCTGGCTACAATTCCTGTCTAATGGCAAAAATCAAAATTCGGACTCGAACATGGTCAAAATTGGAATCCAAAACCGATCATGAAAATACGTACTACAGTTCGAGGACATGAATGCGCATCAAGAAACGTGCACAAAAACTCTCGTTAGAAAGATACGCACATAAGTAAGAGTACAAAAGCATGCACAAAAGTACTCACGCAAAAGTGGATTCGCAAAAAAGGATCATGAAAACACAAACTACAATCCTAGGACATTAATACAAATCAACAAACATGCACCAGCACACTCGCTCAAATGGACATGCACAGACGTACATGTAAAAAAACATGCGCAAAAGTGCATTCGCAACAACGTTCTTAAAAACACGAACTACAATACTAGAAATTTAATACGCATCAACAAACAACAACAAAAACAATAGATAAAAAAGGTACGGTGGAGTGTAGAAATAAAACTCTACGTTTACGTTTGCGTGGATTTTTTTTTGGATTAATTTATATTTCTGTTTGAATTTGTGGATTTGGTATCTTATAGGTACAAATCGAAATTTAGGTGTCCAGGAAGCAAAAATGATGAAAGAGTAAGAAAAGAGTTGCAATTAGGAAAATAAAATCAAATTAGAAGAGAGAATCCCTCAACATCTTTGGTAGTGTACGTCCACGAAGTCGAGCATAACATTCTCATCAAGACTCCAAATCAACTGGTTCCGGCGGCATTAGAAAGCTATTTCAGCTGGCTACAATTCCTGTCTAACGGCAAATATCTATGTTAGAATCCTTTGGATTCTGACTTTGCAAGGAAACGTGTAAAGGGATTGTAGCACAAGTCTAGATATGCCGTGATATAAGAAAGGGAGTTTCCTTGTGTTTTAATTCCTTTTAATTTGTCATTAATTGATTTATATTAGGAATTATCTTTATACAAAGAGTTTTCTTATTTTACAACTTATTCTCCTACGTGAATAAGAATCCCTAACCTAATGGATTTTATTTCCTTGTGTTTTAATAGTTAAGGGAATTAGTTTTTAGATAAGGAATGAATAGTTGTATTTTCCTATACAACTCTTTTTAACGTGAATAAGAGATCTAATTAGATTTGTATTTTCTTGTGCAGGAAGAATTATGAACGTATAAAGAGGGCTTCAAGCATCGTTATCTGTAGACGTTTGATTGGAGAGAAAAAAATATATTTTTCTGCTCTTAATTTCTCTGCTCCCGGAACGTCTTTGATCGAGAGAAATTTTTCACAGAAAATATTTTTCCTCTCGTTTTTATTGTTCCATCGTGATACGTGATTTTCATAGAAAATATACCGGCTTCAAGGCTTTGTGGTGAAGACACCAAGATTCAAGGAGTATCACAAGTTTGCTTCTTCTATACAAAAAGAAGATCGGTTCTTCGGGAGAGGGGCTTAAACAGATCTCGGGAGGAGATCGATCCGCCGACTGAGGGATTCAGCGTTGAAGGGAGTTCAACCGTGCGGAGCAAGGGACGTGCTGCAAATTGAAGATTTATAATTCAGCGTAGTATACAAGAACGGCGTCAACAAAGAGGGAGTCTTTGTATTTTGATTAAGTCCTATTATTGTATTCGTAAAACTAAAAATTAGTAAATTTTATTTGCAGGTCCCCGTGGATGTAGGGTACAATTGTATCCGAACCACATTAAAATTTGTGTCTCGTTTATTTCTGTTTTTACGAACTGCTTCACGAACTGTTGCAACACTTCACGCAACAGTAACGAAAAACTGAATCTGACACAAATAATTTATATCTGCACGAAATAAATTCTAACAATTGGCATCAAGAGCCTGTCACTAGATACACTTAGTGAGATTTTGGGATTTAATTATTTTTTTATTTTTTTGTGCAGACATGAATAACCATCGTGAAGGCGCATTCCTACCACCTCTCTTGGGTGAATTGAACTACTCTGATTGGAAAATAAGGATGAAGATGTTCATCAAATCTATCGATGAATGGGCCTGGCGCGCGATTCTAATTGGTTGGACACCTCCTACCTCAATGAATGAGTCACACGAGATCATTCAAACCCCAAAAGAGAAGTGGAGTGATGAAGAAGTACGAATCGCAGATTATAATTCCAAGGCAACCAATGCTATCTTGAGTTGTATCGATGAAGACCAATTCAAATTGATATCAATGTGCAAATCAGCAAAGGAGGCATGGGATGTTCTACAAGAGGCCTACGAAGGAACTACTCAGATAAATGAGTGCAAACAGACTGTCGCTGAAACTGTTGCAACAGTTGAACAGACTGTTAAGACAGAACTTAGGTATGATAAGTTACATTCAATATCCGATAAAATATTAACTCCGTTAAATCTTGCAGGTGATGATTGGGATTCAGAAAACAACAGCGATGATGACGTGTCATCCTTGGAAGAATTAAAGGAGTGCTATGAAAGGATGTACGAAAAATTTCTTCAGGTATGCGAGTCGAATAAATTCTTAGAAAAAGAGAAGCTTGTCCTAATTGAGGAAAACAAAGTATTGAAGGTAAGAATTTCTACTCTTGAACAAAATGTTATTTCTGCTAGTAGAGAAACAGATAGTTTGAAGGCCAAATTTGCTAAAACCCAAGATTCTATTTCAAAATTAAATACAGGTAGGGTAAATTTGAATGAAATTTTGAGAACAAATCAGCCGAACTATGGTCATCTAGGTGTAAGGGGTAATAAACTATCTGATGATGCTTTGAAACAGAAAGAAGATCCAATAGGAAAAATCAATTTTGTTAAACAATGCACTGTTTCACAGACTGTTGCGACAGTTGCGCCAAAACAGTCATTTCAAAGAAAACGTTTTGTGCCTATTTGTCATTTTTGTCATGTTGCTGGTCATATACGACCCAGGTGTTTTAAGTACTTGAAAATGGTTAAAAGAATAATGGCCCGCTCACCACTTTCCGCCAAAATTGATCACACTTTTGTGTCGTCTCAAAAACCCAAGATAAAGGTTGATTTAGTGAATAAAACTCAACAAAAAATCAGGGTAAAGAAGTCTGATCTTAATTGTTTATCTGCCATTACTTCTTTAAACTCATGTGATGATAGTACTAACTGTTCCAACAGTTCTGGTGACAAAACTAGTTTGGGGAATAAAAAACTTGGTAATCTGAATTGTGATAATTTGTATGTGAAAAATAAGTTTATGAATCCAATTCAGCATTCGAGAACTAAGCTTACTGATATTTGTCATCTTTTCATAAGGGGCTTGGTCGAAAAGGGGGTTGTCTCAATTGATTATGCTGCAACGGAGAATGAATTAACTGATGCTTTTGCAAAAACCCTTGATGCACATAAATTTGATTCCTTGCGAAAATCGCTGGGAATTTATGTTGTTTAATCTGATGCAGTTGCATGAACTGTTGCAACTGTCTGTGTGTCCAGACTTGCAACTTTTAGAGGTAGGACACTTCATATGTTTTTGCATCTCATATAGGACCTGCATTAAGCATACTGCATATGATTGAGACATATGTGAATTTGATACTTCGTGTATTTCTAAATTTTGTGGGGTAGAACTTCACCAATTCCCAAAATGATTACTTAAAAGGCTCCAACTTAATTATTTCTCTGAATAGTCTTGTCATGGTTGGATGTTTTTATAGGGAAAAACTGCATCTTTTAATAAGTGAAAGCTACTCTTGAACTACTGTTACTAATATATATATCTACAACCATTTGGTCAGTGAATAGTTCGAAGCCTTTTTGAGTCGAGCCAGTAAATCACGTGGCCGAAAGCTCGCTACAAGGCTCAATTAGAAAGCCCAGGGGACTACACATTGCACGGCCAATATAAATTATATATATGGTCAGTGAATAGTTCGAAGCCTAGTTGAGTCGAGCCAGTAAACCACTTGACCGAACACTTACTACAAAGCTCAATTAGAAAGCCCAGGGGACTACACATTGCACGACCACCATAATCTCGTTCCTTTTAATTGCTCTGTTTTTCATGGGAAAAAGCTACCATTAGACGTGTGTGTACGCTACCTAATAAGAGCATCTTTGTGTTTGACTTGGGATTATTAAGTTTGTTGGTTGCATTGGCAGTCGGATTTTTGGGGATTGCGCTTATCGTGAATGTGAAGATAAATCCCATATGTTTTGTGTGTCCATGCAGTATCCTATTCACATATGTCTCTTCACTCATGTCTATTTCTCATGTTTACTTTTTGTACTGCATTAGGCATTATTTAAAAAAAAAAAAAAAAAAAATAAAAAAGAGAGAGAGAGAGACGGGATTTTTGTTTATGTGCCGGTTAAATTTTACTTTTTTGTTGCAACCGGATCGATTGGGCTTACTCCTCACATTTCCACGTTTCTTATGAAGTTTGGCAAAGTCTGTAGTCTTTGCTATTTAATGTTGGATTCGATATTACTATCCTTTGATTTTCGCATTGCAATTATCGTGTGGTATTGAGTTTGTGAGTTTGTGATTTTCTGTGCACGTTATGTATAGTGATTCTTCTCACTTAGTTCCAAGATTCTCTCTTCGTTTTGATCTTTTTGTTAAGTGTTTGAACAGCTTGCTTGAATCATCAAGATCGTTAGTCCATGTTGAGTTATCTTTGCATGGTGATTGCCCAGAAAGGGGGAGAAAAGAACAGTAACGATGGCATGAACACAGGGGGAGTTCCGACAACTGTTGCGACAGTGCATCAGACAGTTGCTGGAACAGTGCAGGAATGCAGGGGGAGTTCAGACAACTGTTGAAACAGTGCGTGAGACAGTTGCTGGGCAGAAATATAGGACAAATAATAAGCATTGTGAAGAAAAGTTGTTTCTGCTACTGCATATCCTTTTTTCTCGTGCTTATCTGAACGAATTATCTGCTTTTATTTTGGAACTATGGTTTATTTACGGTTTACACTATCTGGTGAACTGTTTGATAAACTGTTGCAACAGTTTATATGTGCAGATGTTATTCTGAATTTGCTAACCCTTGTTCATGCATATATCATATATTTAGGGGGAGTAAATGTTCTGACCAATCAATGCCAAAGGGGGAGAGTGTTAGAATCTCGGTGGGATTCTAAGTCCACAATACCAAGTGGAATTCTATGGAGATGTGTATTAATATGAGGAACATATTTTTCTTAGTTATCTCATTAGATAATTTGAGAAGAAATAAATTATCTCTCCATATTAATCCCCTGAACGTGTCTATCCAAAATAGAAGGAATTTCATCTTTTTATTATTATTGTGGTAATTGTCATTAATTGGTTTCCTTGTTTGATTTCTCTAGAGCTTCACAAGAATATAAAAGAAGGAGTTAATGCCGATGTCATTTGCACATGCAGGGGGAGCTGACTCCACTGGGTTAGTTTCCGGAGCCACTACTTGTGGGAACAGTTGCTGATACTGTGGCACTTACTATTGCAACAGTTGATGCTACTCTTGTTGTTGAAAAGAGTTGATGATGATCTTCGTTTTATTGCTTCCGTCTATCATCTGATTGTTTTATTTTCAGGTTATTTTACTCAGGGGGAGAAAATGATTATAATCAATAAACGACAAAGGGGGAGATTGTTAGAATCCTTTGGATTCTGACTTTGCAAGGAAACGTGTAAAGGGATTGTAGCACAAGTCTAGATATGCCGTGATATAAGAAAGGGAGTTTCCTTGTGTTTTAATTCCTTTTAATTTGTCATTAATTGATTTATATTAGGAATTATCTTTATACAAAGAGTTTTCTTATTTTACAACTTATTCTCCTACGTGAATAAGAATCCCTAACCTAATGGATTTTATTTCCTTGTGTTTTAATAGTTAAGGGAATTAGTTTTTAGATAAGGAATGAATAGTTGTATTTTCCTATACAACTCTTTTTAACGTGAATAAGAGATCTAATTAGATTTGTATTTTCTTGTGCAGGAAGAATTATGAACGTATAAAGAGGGCTTCAAGCATCGTTATCTGTAGACGTTTGATTGGAGAGAAAAAAATATATTTTTCTGCTCTTAATTTCTCTGCTCCCGGAACGTCTTTGATCGAGAGAAATTTTTCACAGAAAATATTTTTCCTCTCGTTTTTATTGTTCCATCGTGATACGTGATTTTCATAGAAAATATACCGGCTTCAAGGCTTTGTGGTGAAGACACCAAGATTCAAGGAGTATCACAAGTTTGCTTCTTCTATACAAAAAGAAGATCGGTTCTTCGGGAGAGGGGCTTAAACAGATCTCGGGAGGAGATCGATCCGCCGACTGAGGGATTCAGCGTTGAAGGGAGTTCAACCGTGCGGAGCAAGGGACGTGCTGCAAATTGAAGATTTATAATTCAGCGTAGTATACAAGAACGGCGTCAACAAAGAGGGAGTCTTTGTATTTTGATTAAGTCCTATTATTGTATTCGTAAAACTAAAAATTAGTAAATTTTATTTGCAGGTCCCCGTGGATGTAGGGTACAATTGTATCCGAACCACATTAAAATTTGTGTCTCGTTTATTTCTGTTTTTACGAACTGCTTCACGAACTGTTGCAACACTTCACGCAACAGTAACGAAAAACTGAATCTGACACAAATAATTTATATCTGCACGAAATAAATTCTAACAATCTAAATTCGGACTCGAACATGGTCAAAATTGGATTCCAAAAGCGATCATGAAAATACGTACTACAGTTCGAGGACATGAATGCGCATCAAGAAACGTGCACAAAAACTCTCGTTAGAAAGATACGCACACAAGTAAGAGTACAAAAGCATGCACAAAAGAACTCACGCAAAAGTGCATTCACAAAAAGGATCATGAAAACACAAACTACAATCCTAGGACATTAATACAAATCAACAAACATGCACAAGCACAATCGCTCAAATGGACATGCACAAACGTACATGTAAAAAAAACATGCTCAAAAGTGCATTCGCAGCAACGTTCTTAAAAACACGAACTACAATACTAGGACTTTAATACGCATCAACAAACAACAACAAAAACACTAGATAAAAAAGGTACGGTGGAGTGTAGAAAAAAACTCTACGTTTACGTTTGCGTGGATTAATTTTTTGGATTAATTTCTATTTATGTTTGAATTTGTGGATTTGGTATCTTATAGGTACAGATCGAAAATTATGTGTCCAGGAAGCAAAAATGATCAAAGAGTAAGAAAAGAGTTGCAATTAGGAAAATAAAATCAAATTAGAAGAGAGAATCCCTCAACATCTTTGGTAGTGTACGTCCACGAAGTCGAGCATAACATTCTCATCCGGACTCCAAATCAACTGGTTCCGGCGGCATTAGCAAGCTATTTCAGCTGGCTACAATTCCTGTTTAACGGCAAAAATCCATATTCGGACTCGAACATGATCAAAATTGGATTCCAAAAGCGATCATGAAAATACGTACTACAGTTCGAGGACATGAATGCGCATCAAGAAACTTGCATAAAACTCTCGCTAGAAAGATACGCACATAAGTAAGAGTACAAAAAAGCATGCACAAAAGTACTCACGCAAAAGTGCATTCGCAAAAAGGATCATGAAAACACAAACTACAATCCTAGGACATTAATACAAATCAACAAACATGCACAAGCACACTCGCTCAAATGGACATGCACAGACGTACATGTAAAAAAACATGCGCAAAAGTGCA